ACTTGACCCACAATCTTCATGCACAAAGCACACTTTGAACAACAGAAGCGTGCGACTTGAGTGACTTGACATTTGAGTTAATGAAGCCTTATAATCTACAGCACTGCCTGAAGCAGTGATTGGAGCTAACTGCTTAATGCAACCACACTGGGACACTTTCTAGCCTCCAATTTCAGTTAGCCATATCTCAGCCCACCCTCTCACAGCAACAGCTACAGCAAAGAATGTCAATGTCATAGCAAGAATGCACAAGTTCAGTCTGAAAAAATAAATCATGGCATGTAACCCTATGCCTAGGCTCTATCTGGCACAAATCAGCACAGCTCTTTGCTCAGTAGGAACAAAGCTTTTAGGCTTCTCCCAAAAGGTGTGACTGACATAAGTGTTAATAAGATGCTGCTAGGCTTATCTAAGGTGATGACTCCCTCTCTTACTTCACAGAGTTCAAATGTTTAGAAATCTTTTCTATAATTAATTTACATTTTTTATACAAATGCCATATTTCCATAATTGTGGTGTATAAATGTGCATGTTTATAAGCTTCCTGTGTAATAAATCCCAATTTATGAGGTATTTAAGTAATGGGGAAAATTACTTGAAAGCAACATGAAAGCAACAATGTTGCATATAAACAAAGAACAAATAAAATTACCCTCTCTACTGTGTTTCCTCTGACTTAGATGGGTGCTAACACTTTATTAATTGATGCAGAAATAATACATCCTCTATTTAAGAAGCAAAGGCTGAAATAGTTCAAATTTGATCTGGCTTTCTTGTTCTCAACAGCAGTTTGAGCACTTCCTAATAATAAACCCTTAGAACTATGCTTAGACCTACTACTGCTACAACTGCCCATAGAGCAGACTATCTAAACAGTGTGATTTACATCAGGTTTCTACACTCATTTGAATCAGTGTGGTTTGGCCCCTCTTCAGAAGCTCAAACAACATCTACCCCATTCCCCAGCCCTATTCAGTATTTGTTACTGGTAAATACCTTTCCTGATCATACCCTTCAGGATTTTCACCCAGGGTTTGTAAGTGGCCTTCATTCTCCCCCATAGTGACATCCTGCATCTTCCCAGGGGGTCAACAAGGACTGTTCTCAGGAGGGTTGCTGGCTGCTTCCCAACTAATGGGGACTGTGCCAAGGGCTTGATGTGTTTGATGCAGCCGAAACAACATCTTCTTCCCCAGCCCAGCTATCTCTGTTTAAAGATGCAAATACAACAGAGTATAAACGGGAAAGGATAGAGATTGTTAAAATACAGCTTCTATGCAAAAACCTGTCCCATACAGGGAGTTTCACCTCTCTCCCACACATAGGATTCTGTTAGCCCAAGTAAAAGTCATGTGCACAGGGGATGTTGTAAGCAAGACCTCATAGTTCATCTTGCTCAAAAAGACGAACTGATACCACCTATAATTGCCCCCGGAAAGGCCTATTCTCAGCTAATTAATGTCTTTATATTTCCCATGCCATGTTTTTTTCAAGTGGTTACAAAGCCCTGTGCTAAGTTTAGCCCTAACTTTAGGGAAAAAAATAGCATCCCTTTGAGCAAGGAACATTATGTAATTGCCAAAACAACTGTGTGTCTCCAGGGGCATCTCCTGCACACCTGTAGCCCTGCAATCACAGTGCCTGCTGGGCAGATATATCCTAACGGCAAGGGCTATCTCCCACAAATGCACCCTAAAAGCTGCTTAACCAATATCAGGAGGGAAAAAACAAAACCAAAACAGGACAAAAATCACTAACAAGACAGTCTTAGAAAGGGCTTTAACTAAAATGGGACCACTGAGGATTGAGCAAGAACAGAATTAAACCTCATAGAATCATAGAATAGTTTGGGTTGGAAGGGACCTTTAAAGGTCATCTAGTCCAGCCCCCCTACAATGAGCAGGGACATCTTCAGCTAGAGCAGGTTGCCCAGCACATCACATCCAGCCTGGCCTTGAATGCCTCCAGGGATGGCGCATCCACCACCTGGGCAACCTGTGCCAGTATTTTACCATCTTCTTTGTAAAGAATTCTCTCTTCACATCCAGCTTGAATCTCCCCTCTTTTAGTCTAAAACCATCACCCCTTGAACTATCACAACAGGCCCTGCTAAAAAGTCTGTCTCCATCTTTCTTACAGGTCCCTTTTAAGAACTGAGTTAATAAGAGCTCTCCAGAGCCTTCTCTAGGCTTAACAACCCCAACTATCTCAGCCTTTTCTCACATGGGAAGTGCCCGGTCCCACTGATAATTTATGTGGCCCTTTTCTGGATCCTCTCCTGCAGGTCCATATCTTTCCTGTACTGAGGGACTCCAGAGCTGGAAGCAGTACTGCAGGCGGGATCTTGCAAAACAGAGGGGCAGAATCACCTTCCTTCATCTGCTGGCCTTCTTTGCACCTCACATATCCATGAAACAAATGAACCATTTATTAGTACTGCTTTCCAGCGGCAGGCTCCCAGCATACATGGCTTCATGCCGAAAAATCAGCTCTTAATCAAAGCAGTATCAGGAATAATAATTTGTAAGCAGGATGCTCCTGCTTGCCCAGCAGAGTAAACAGTGAAAGCTTCCCTCCAAGGTGACTTCCAGCCAGAGTGAGCATTGCTCACCAGCTGGTACAGGGCTGGCAGGCGAATGCATCTTCTCTGCCACAGCCCAGCACTATGCGTGTCTAGACTCTAGCATCAGCAGGACCCCAAAGCTTTATGCCAGCTGAGGACCTGGCATAATATGTTAAAAGGTATTTTAGCCCCAGACTTGTTTATCTGTGGGCATGCTCCCCACACAGCACATCCAAATTGTGCAGCATCACGGACAGCAGCTTGGCTAGCTCTGCACAATGATGAGGTCTCTCCTTGTGCACAGGGCAGACGTGCCAAACCCTCCAGGCCATGATACATGCCTGGCAACCAGCACAAACAAGCAGACCTAGCCACGATCTCTCCATAGCTTCCTCTTCATAACCGATGCCTCTTTGTGTGGCTTTTTCCAGCTATCAGTTGTACAGCAGCCCTGGAGCCCACAGTTTCTGATTCTCATTACAAGAGTGTCCTAAAGAGGAAAGAGGGGGACATAGAGGAGACCAGGCTGCATGTAGGTAGTCAGGGCTATCTGCTGCAGTTATGTACAAAGTCCATTGCTTTGAGAAGAGGAAGCAAAATCATGTCACTCTCAGCTGTGCTCTTCTAGTGTCCTCCCCGCTGAGGCTGATGCTACAGTGTACTGGGAGAGGACATACATTGTAGACAAATCAACTCTTCTGGCTAATTTGATTATGCCTCAGGTGCTGCCCACAAAGACAGCATCCCCACCATGTGTCATAGCAGTGACAGCCATGCTGGCTCCAAATAGCTGGTCTATCTCTGCATGAAAAGGCACTGTGGTACAGAGATAAGGCCTGGGCCCCGGGGGTAGCACCTAGCTGTGGCCAGACCCAGTGCTGTTCCCTTCAGCAAGTGACCCTGCGTGTCACCCCCTGCGCAGCTCCAGCTGGCAGCTGTGCACAGGCTGCACCCCGTTCCTGGGCAGCGCACGCTGATACACAACTCTGTTTCAGCCTGCCCTTGGCAGAGCGCAGCACAGCCGGTGCCAGAGCAGCACAGTGAGCTCTTTCGGAGAAACAGTGATGTGAAAACACACTGAAGGTGATGTGCAAAGAACTGCTCCTTAACAGACTGAAGGCTTGCAGCTCCTTATGAGCTCTTTGGAGGATCAGACACCCTCTCCTCCTACCTCTACAGCCATGGCAAACAGCTGCAGCTCTAGTCTGCAGCTGCCAGTCTTATCATCCCTCCAGCTCTCCAAAGCTTTACACCTGCGTTAGTTGCATTTGGTGAAGCAAAGAGTCGGTATGTCAGAGATGCAACCAGAGCAAAATGAGATTTGTCACATGCCAAAAGGGCAAATGAAGAAAGCAGAGGGTTTTTTCATATTTCTTCCCAAGTTACATTCCTAAATTGTAATTTCTGGTGTAGGCAAACCCAGTCTGAAGGATGCATACCCTCCCCAAACCATACTCTTGCTTTAGTCCTTGCCACCTCTCAAAGCTCAGTTGAAATATACTCTGCAAGACCACCCTGATTTACCAGCCTTAACAGTGAAGTACTGCCTCCTGTGCATTATGGAACAAATCCTGCCAGGGTTTGAGCCATTCCGGTATTGTCCCAGCATAAGATTTTAGTTCCAAGGTATACATATGCAATTCACTATAACCGAAAGCATTACTTAAGGTTGACTTTAGCTTATGGCACAGAAACATAAAAATACCAGAACCTCTTTAGTTACTGTTGAAAGCACACATACACACCCAAAAAAAGTTTGGCACTACAGTGTTACAATCTGCAAGCTACTTCCCTCTGTCTCTAAAGATAAAAGTCACCCCAAGGCTGCTGATGGACTTACCAGGTACATGTTAATAACTGGAGGAAAATTCATCTTAAGTATCAGACTATCAGCTGCTGTGCGGAGCTGGCAAAGCAATTTGAAAGTTCTGAACCCTAGCTTTATGAGTTGGGAACAGGGAAAGGACGAGATTTCTACCGGCAAGAGAGGCCATTAACTGAAATATTTCCAAACAGGATGACAATGGATCCAGTAGTAGCTGTTCAGTGCTCCAGCGAAGCACCAGTAAACTTTTCCCCAACAGTTAGCTCTCCTTAGTTAGTCTGCTGGGATACTCAGGCAAATCCCTCACCCTCTAGAAAGCGGAACATGCACAGTAGCATGAGTGACAGCACAGCTTCCTTGCCATTCTCACTGAAACCACTTTCTCTTCTTTCAGCGCTGGAACACCCCTCCACACCTTCACCTGCAGGGCCAGGATCTGGCATTGCTGGCAGGAGCCAGGGCTACTTCAGTTAACCAGCTCTGCTCCATCAGCCCAGCTGCGCTGCTATACACGTCACCTACTGACAGGACGGCGGCAAGTCCCTACTTCATTGCTGGTCACATTAATTAAGCATCGTGACTCCCCCATGAGACAGGCAGGTGACACCATACCTGCCTCATGCCATTAGATGCCGGGAGTGCCAGACTGGCTTGTCTGGGGCGACAAGGTCCCGGTGGGAGGTCACGCAGCCTGTGGAAGGGTCTGCCCAGCGCGGTGGCCGGCAGCAGCCTTGCCCTAAGCCGTCACCTGAAGCGCAAAAGCCATCTCCGGATGGTGAGGCGGAGGTGCCTGCAGGGCGGGGAGGTCGCGCGGCCGGAGGATGCTCCCGGGCCCTGCCGTGGGGCGAACCCAGAAGCGCTCTGTGCGTAGCAGATGCGTTACGGGTTTGGTACACACAGATGTGGAGCAGGAGCGGGCGGGCAGCGGGGGGGAGGCGCACCGCTGGAGCAACAGCTGCCGGAGCGCGACGAGAGCACAGAGGGGACTGGGGGCGAAGGGGAGGGGGCGTCCTTCAACGGCGGCTGCCTCACAGCCGGCAGCGCAGCACGCACCGCCCTCGGGGGCAGCGCCGCGGGGACCGGCTAGGGGACAGCGGCGAGGAAAGAGGAGGGAAGGGGATAGCACCCGGGGAAGCCATGGCACGGGACGCGGGTCCCGCTCCCGCCACCCGCCGCGCGGCCCGCACTCACCACGGTGACGGGGGACACCATGGCGGCGGGGCGCAGTGCTGGTGGTGGTTGCGGTGCTGACGGTCGCGCTGGTGCTCCCGCCCGCGGTGGTCCCGGTGCCCGAGCTGCCAACCGCTCGCTGCCCGCCGGGGCGCTTTTTAGACAGCTGTGACGTCACTGGAAGGGGGCCCCCGCGGCGAATGCGCTGAGGGCAGCGGGAGGGGGCGGCCCCGGCTCAGCCCCACCCCGGGCCCGCTGCCGGACGGGCGCAGGGCTCGCTCGGCCCCCGGTCGCCGCCTCAGTGGCGCGGCCCGCCCCCTGGCGCGGCGCTCGCCGGGCAGCCGCCAGCGGCTGGGTCCTTCGCCGCGTTCCCGCCCCGCCCCGCCCCGTCCCGCCCCGGGGGTGGCCGCAGCGGGGACGCGGCGTGCTGGGGGGATGCGGCAGCTCCTGGGAGCTGGGCCCTGGAGGAAGCGCAGAGGCTCCCTCCCAGCACCCCGCGCTGCCCTCTGTGTTGTATCTCCCTATTCCGGCCGGCAGCGCCCCGGAGGCTCGAGGACATGTAGGGCAGGGCAGATCTCCGGCAGGACCAGGCACGGGGCAGGACTACATACACCCCATACCCCTCGCCCTGTGTCAGGTCCTTCCCGCCCCGGCGTCCTTCTCCGGCACTCCTGCTTGTGCCCACATACCCCCAGCCCCAGCCTTTCTCCTCCCTTGCCTTCAGGCTGCTTCCTGCCCGCCACTCTTCTGCTCTTTCTGCCCGTCTTTTCACATCCTGTTTCTTGCAGAGACCCCTGGGACCTTCCACACCTTCTGCTCCACCTTGACTTCTCATCACCCACCATTTCCCCATTTTTCCTTTTCTAGGGGCTCCTCCCAGTTCACAGTTGCCCGCTTCCCATTGCCCCCATCTTAAGACCTGCAGGTGCTTGGCAGACCCTTTCACCTCAGAGCTGGCCATGGTTTCCAGCTGTCTGCTTGCTCACAGCAGCTGCTGATGGTCCCTGTGCCCCACAGGAGCGGGTTCCTCCCAGCTCACCTCCCATCCCCATACTTCTGCCAAGGTCATCCGGAGGCTGAGGAAATGTTAGTGTTGGCACAAAGACAGGGTGAGGAATATGTAATGTGAGATACTAGAGAGTGGGACGCAGAAGCTCAGGCTTATTATAGTGACCCTAGGACTACCTGTACTAGTCTGTTTGTACTTGACGATTAATACTTAAGGATGCAGGAAGCTGCTTTACGTGTAATACAATCCTGCTCAAAGTTTCACTAACAAAGCAAACAGATACTTAAATAGTATATGATTAAGTAATCTACCATTTGCAGTCTGAGCAAAAGTCATGTTCAGTATTTATCACAACAAGGGAACATTTTCTTCTATAAAGTAAAAAAAAAAATAAAAAATAATGTAATAAAAGCTGTGCAACTCTTTGCGGTGTCTGTGCAGTACATCAGTATCCTATTTTTGAGGACAGAATGTATACAAACAACTGCCCCAAGACTCACAGGGGCATCCTGATTTGTATCAATAGAGATGCGTGAATAGAGGGCAGCGTTTGACCCATCACCACCCAATAGGACTGAGGTGGACTCTGAAGACTGTGCCTCCTTACCAATCTGAGAGGATTTCTACCCAAACAAAAGAAACTACAGATCTGCGCTATCAGGTTAGAGAGGCATTCAGTGAAATCTGTGGCAAGTAAACCTCAAGCAGATCAAAGCAAACTGTTCTCTGTACGGCAAAGACCTGTGTGCCACAGCCAGGGTTTGAGTGCTGTTCTTACAGTTTCGATTCAAACAGTTCATAGGCAGTAATACTTCCCTTAAGCAAGAACAGAAGGATAAGCTTTCCCTTTCAGGGGGAAGCTAGATGAACTACAGAATGGGAAGAGATTCCACAGCTTTTCACAAAAGAGGCTTTGCCCTGCTGAAATCAAGGTGGATGGTCACTAGCAGAAGCAGCACAAGGAAACAGGGGTATTTGGATGTCGAAGGATGCAGTTATTTTGATACCATACAGGGTCTTCAGAAGGACCAATGGAATCTCAGAATTTGGGTTCCTAATTGCTTTTGAAAATCCTTCTGGGAGCTGGATTATGTCTTGGCATTTAAATACCTAAAAAGACCCCAAACCCAAACCCTGCTCCTTGGTCCTCAGCCAAACTCTTCCTCTGCTTATTCTGCCCTTTATTGAAGAGACTAGCCAGGCAGTACAATGGGTAGGGGCTTCTTCGCACTCGTGTAATGTCTTGTGCTGCTCCAGAAGTGGGAGATGATCCTAGGGTGGATGCAGCTTCGCATTTGCTCTTTTTTTCTAAGGCGGTATCTGTCTTCCCTGGTTACCACCTGAAGCTTCCCTTGGTCTCGCAAATGAGGTATTTCTGTGTCATTGATGCAGGCATTCAAAATATGTTAACACTGGGTTGGATTTTCATGCTATGTTATTAGCTCAAAGAAACCTACCAGAAGTAAAACTGTGTGCATGTCCTGACTTTTCCGTCTCAAACAAGCACTCAGAAACTCAGTCTCAATAGTTTTGTTTGCCAGGGGGCTGACCATTTCTGACTTCCAGACAGTTCCTTCCACAAACATTTTTAAAACAGAGATTCAGAAGTCCTTATGGTAAACAGGGTATTTGCATGTAATAAGGAGATGGCTTCTATGACAAAGATTTCACAAGCTCAATATAAGCTGAAAATTGTTGTTGTTGTTTATTTAATACTAGATTTAATTTCATGTGACTCACAAGATTATTCATGGGATTGTGTCCATTTTCCCACTATCAAAACAAGTGCTACATCAACAATAAGTAATTCCTTGTAAGTGAGGGACACCTGGGAGGATAAATTAGGAATTTGGATAAAGCAGAAATATTTTACAGTTTATCTAAATCCAAGCTCATATAGTCCAGGTCCTGGGACAAATCCATTCCCACTGTACAAACTCCAAGCAATAGATGAGGCAAATGAAGGGAATACAGGATCGATGGCTTCATAACACAGTCAAATTTGCCTTGGTGTGTGCATGCCACACTTCTCGTGGGGGGGTTTTGCTGGTGGTGTTGCAGTCTCCTGTTCTGACTAGTGCAGGCAAGAGACATCTCATCACATTTTGTTTTGTATCAACTGCAGGGATTTAACAAAAAAATAGAAAATAGGTCTAATTTGGGGTGTGTGGTATTTTAACTTGCTATCAGTAGGCAAACAGAGCAGTAATTACTTGAGCATAAATTTATGGGGGTTGGGTATAGCAAAACAGAGCATTAAGTACTTCTGTGCGTGTTTGTGCTTGAGAATGCTTCTGCTGGGCCATGTTTGTATTGTGCAGGATTAAAAAAAGAAGTCAAAAGAAGTCCCGTCTTCAGCAAGGCTGCTTCCTGAAGGTTCCCATGTTGTTCAATCTAGTGCAGTAGCTCCATGACTCAGATGCGCATAGGATTTCTGTTTAGAATTAACTGCTGTACATCTCACTAATAGCTTGACCCTTTTTCTTCCTGTCCCTGTATCTTTTTTTCCACTGTTTTATTCTCCTTTTGGATAAATGTCAGCCTGTGGACCCCACCAGTCCCTAGCTGGGACCCCCACCCAAGCCCAATCTGTCAGGAAGTATCAGAACTCTTGTGTTGTTAAATGCAGTTCAAACGCACACCAAAAAAGCAGACTCTTCCCAAAAGTGATTGCCTTTGTAGTGAAGGGTCTGTGGATATTTGAATGACATAGAATAAATGTGTGCTTATAGGAACATGTTGGGACAACCATAAAGCTCTCTGTTTTCTAGCTGTTTCTTATTCAGGGAGGTTGTTCTAACTCCAGCAATGGCTGGAAGAGCAGCAAAACATTTCTCATATTCAGGTGCTTCTGAAATGAGGCAGGTCCCATCTGCTGGAACAGGCTTTGCCAACGGGCCATGGAGCACATGCTTTGTTTTGCACTTTCAGATTTACTATTAATACAGAAGTGCCTGGAATTAAACTACTGAGGATTCAGAAACAAGTGTGTTGTTAAGTGCTGGAAAAGTTTCATTTGAGACTTACCCATGTGAGATGCTCCTGAATCACCTCCTTGCTGGCTGCTTCAGAGCACAGTGCACCCAGATCCTAGTTTGGCAGTGTCCCTGTCAGCCACAGTGGGATACATCCAGTGTGGCTTTCTGTTTTGTGATAGCCAGCTCTATTTAAGCCCATCTGTGATTTGCGTACTGGACATAGTGCTAGTTTCTGAAACTTCTCATGTCAAGTAATCTGGTGTTTGTTCCCCTGTACATGCGTACATTTCCTTTCTACACAGATTTATTTCCTGTCCTTCAAGAACTGCCAGCTCTGTCCAGCTCCTTTGTCCCTGAGGGCTATTTCCCATTCACTAATTCCTTAAACAAATGGAAGTTTGCTGTCCTAAAATTCAAGGTCTTGACTCTACTCGTCATTTGGCCCATAACCGTCAAGATTGTGAATTTTACCATGGTGTGAACACCTCAGCCAGGCTGCCACCCATCTTATAATCTTTAATCAGTTAATCTGTGTTGGTAAGAGGTAGAAACATTCTAGTAATGTTTCTGATGTTCCTCCTCTGGTCAGGCTGTCTTATTACCTGGGCCTGGTTTTATCAATGTCCACTTGAGAAGGCAGTTTGTGTCAAAGTAGTTGAGCAGTTTATTGGTGAATGGAGTTCAGCCACCAGCTGTTGGCAAAAAGAAAATGGTGGTGGTGTATTTCTCATCCCCAGACATTGCAAAGGAGATGCACGTTGGCCATCTGCAGTCCACTATCATTGGAGAAAGCATGTGCCGGGTGTTTGAATTTGCAGGATATGGTGTTTTGCTGCTAAACCATTTAGGAGACTGGGGCACATAGTTTGGAATGCTCATTGCTCACCTCCAAGACAAATTTCTGGAGTGCTTAACAAATTCTGGATTAATTACTTACCCTCAACATGCTACAAGAGTCTCCTGGGTCACTTACAGCTTGCTGTGCTGTTCTTCCAGGAGACACCAGGGTGACTGGAGTGTCCCAGCAGGATCAGAGCATGTGAGTGCAGTGTTTCCTGTAGTTGAAGTAGGAATGCTTTGTCATCAGGCTCCCCTGCT